ACTGCAGAATCTTTACTACCACTCGATCAGTTCCAAGTAGGGATTCAGTTCCTTGGTTGTCATGTTACTTTTTACAAAGAAAGTGATTAATTTTCAACTGGGATGGATCCGATGATTCCATCACTGGATGACATTTTACTTTTTTACCATTGTGAACCAATCGAGAATGCACCTCTTATAATCACTGTCGATTTCCTCAGTTGCATTCCTCGCACCGAACGCGATGTCGGTACTGTCTCTTACGAGATGCCATTGTAATCTTCTAGGCGATTGTTTCTATAGCGATCGTGGAGTTAATGGTCGTAAAATCAACAATTTCTTAATGATTGTAAAAAAATCGCGCACTTTTATGTCTATCTAAAAGTCTAAAATTAGTCACATTAGGTCATTGTACAGTATTTGTACGGTTACGTTAATGTCAATTATAATGTGTATCTATTTTCAGTGACTGGTGTGTCATAGTGCCCAGGGCCAGAGACTGTATTTAGCAACCAATGCTATCAAGGGAGATAAACCGCATTACTGATCCGATTGTTACTACGCACACTTATACCACACCATTGCAATATGTGCAGCTATATACTATATACTTATATAGTTTAATAGTTGTATAGCCTACATTATGCTAGGTAAACTGCTGAATATTATATAGACATGAATACAGTAGCGACATTTTATTAGTTGCCATAGCAATTGTTCCTTCGTTCTAGCCGTTTCTGTGGGGATTTTATACGTCTGTGGTATGTGCGTAAAAATCAAAACCAAATCCGATTAAGTTAGAGCACTTGACCTTTAATAAATGTTAACCTGACGCAACATGCTTGAATCCAGATCCAGCTATGCGATCTATGGTAGTAATAAATATACACAAGTGCATGATTGAACCTGTAAAAGTTGAACTTATTGAAATAATACTTCTGTTCCGCTTTATGGATCAATATATTCGTCTAACCACCAGACCGTCGTTGCCCGAATGACAAGACAATTTTTGCCCGAATAGGATAAATTCTCAAAAAATTGGGGGGGGGGGGCTGCAGCCCCACCCTCCCGTACGCCTAATCGCCTATGCTAGATGTTAGCGGTACCAACGTTTCTTTTATGGCAGAGAATAATCCACAAAAGAGTTGTAACAATGCTGATTGTTACATACCTGTTATTGACAATCAACCTACTGCCTTATTGAGAACTGGCCAACTGAACGTTCTCAACCGCGCGAAAATGATAGTTTATCACATAAAGGGCTTAAATAAGCCAAGCGTACTACAATATACACCAAATCGAAATCACTTAATCCAGAAGGAATCAAGTATTACGTCGGCAAGCCAATTAAGTAAGCACTACGATGAAAACCATAAATTAAGTTATTCTGATTGGATAAATCGACTCCCTTTGCCGGATTGAGCAGTTTTCTAAAGCGCTAAACCAACATGATGAAACAAAAGACAAAGCGAATAAACAAAGAAAAACTCATTTTAAGAAATTACAAAATGGACTCGAGAAACCCCCACGATCGCAAAACAGTAGTCATTCCCTTTTGATACGTACACCTGTTACTCCTCCAAGCGACGTAGCACATCAAAATGTTCGGATACGGCGTTCGTACCACCGTGCTCCCGATTGGTACAGACATTTAGATCTGGTCAGCCGGATAACCAGAATGTAACGTTGCCGTTCTATATTATCCCCGTCCGAGTTTCCCACCGTCATACGAGAGTGACCCGTCCAAGTTATTACCCGTCAGGGAAAGTTTCCATGTATGGTATGAAGCAGCTGACAAACAAGGTAACACTATACGGATTTGTTTACTTGATTTTTCCAAGGCGTTTGATCGATTAGATCATAACATTCTTTTGAAAAAATTGAAAGACATGGAAATTCATCCCGTGTTACTCAACTGGATCGCAAACTTTCTAACAGACAGACAACAAAGAACCCGTGTTGGTCAGTTCTTTTCTGAGTGGTTAAACGCCGGCGTTCCACAAGGAACAAAGCTTGGCCCGCTATTGTTTTTGATTATGATCAATGACTTGGCTGTGGCGGATGAAACTGTTAAATTTGTCGATGATACTAGCCTTTGGGAAATAATATCAAACAATTCCCCCGTCCCATTTACCCGCTAACATCATCAGCTGCTCTGAATGGTCATCGGTCGATAATATGAAGTTAAATGTATCAAAGACCAAAGAATTGCGTGTTTGCTTTTCTAAGCTTATTCCATTGTTTGCCCCTATTACCATCCATGGTCAAGAGGTCGACGTCATCCGAGGCCAAATTATTGGGCGTTGTTCTTTCAGACGATCTTAAATGGATCCGACATATTGACTACATTTGCAAGAAAGCCGCGAAGCGTTTGTATGGTCTGCGCCTTCTTAAAAGAAATTCTTTACCTTTTCATATCCTGATCTCTACCTATTGCACATGACCATGGATGGTAATAGGGGCAAACAATGGAATAAGCTTAGAAAAGCAAACACGCAATTCTTTGGTCCTATAACAAGCATTATCAACTCTTCCTTTAGCGAAGGGCGTCTCCCTCCATCATGGAAAAGTGCCGATATTGTTCCTATTCCTAAACAGAAACAAGTCCGGGACATTAACAAAGATTTACGCCCAATATCGTTAACACCGGTTCTATCCAAAGTAGCCGAAGAGTTTGTTGTAGAGGGGCATGTGCGACCGGCTGTAATAAAGAAGATCAACGATAACCAATTCGGATGTATACCGAAATCTTCCACTACGCAAGCTTTACTCAGCATGGTGCATACTTGGACCAAACATACTGACGGTTCTGGATTAGCAGTGCGGGTCGTCCTTTTCGACTATAAGAAAGCATTCGACCTGATAGACCACAGTATCCTGGCTTCTAAGTTGTCCACCCTCAACTTACCGCATTCTATCTTGAGCTGGATATTAGACTATCTTAAGAATCGCAAGCAAAGGGTTAAACTTGGTCAGGACTGTAAATCTGAATGGGGTGATATACCAGCAGGGGTACCCCAAGGGACCAAGCTGGGCCCGTGGCTTTTCGCCTTAATGGTCGATGATATCGATGTCACCAACACAGATCTATGGAAATATGTAGATGATACTACAATCGCGGAAAATGTTGCAAAGAACCAGGCAAGTAGAATCCAAGTCGATGTTAATGAGCTTATAACAAAATCGGGTGAGAATAAATTCCAATTAAATGAAAAAAAGTGTAAAGAAATGCGAATATCGTTTGCAAAGTCGCCTGCAGATTTCAACCCAATCATCGTTAACGGAAAAGCTATCGAGCAAGTTTCATGTGTCAAGCTACTTGGATTGAACATTACGAGTGACCTGAAATGGAACCACCATATATCGGAAATATCGCGAAAAGTGTCCAAAAGACTCTACTTCCTCAGACAATTGAAGAGAGCAAGAGTCGCTAATAAGGATCTGGTAATCTTTTACATCACATGCATTCGGCCCGCCATGGAATACGCCTGCCCTGTCTACCATAATTCACTGCCCAAATATTTGTCTGATGAACTTGAAGCCCTACAGAAGCGCGCCATGAGAATTATTTTCCCATTTGCTTCTTATCTTGAAGCATTAGAACTCGCTAAATTAGAGACAGTGTATATTCGTAGACAGACTCAAACAACTAACCTTTTTCAGGAAATTAGTAATAATCCAGAACATAAACTATATCGATTTTTACCGAAGTTAAATAAATGTAATTTTAAGCTTAGGAATACTCGTAAATTTCAAGTTCCTGTCTGTAAAACTAACAGACTTCAGAACAGCTTTTTTTATAGTAATTGTACATAGTATAGTCGTACTTAGATCTTTTAATTGTATTTTTGATGTTATTGTAAATTCCTAATCTAATTCGGCTCAATTTTGGCTGTAAATTTTGGAATCATTAAACTATCTATCTATCTATCTATCTATCTATCTATCTATCTATCTATCTATCTATCTATCTATCTATCTATCTATATTCGACCAATTGTGGAATATGCTTGTCAGGTGTGGCATTATGACCTTCCTCAGAGTGATCAAGTTGAAAAAATCCAAAAAAGGGCATTAAAAATTATTTTTCCTGGAACTACCTATGCTGAATGTTTGCTTAAAGCAAACTTAATGACTCTTTATGAACGTAGAACAGTTCTTTGCAAGCGCCTTTTTTCGAAGATGTTGGAACCCACTCATAAACTCAATGCCTTAATACCGCCTAAAAATCTTCAAAGTTATGATCTGAGGTCTTATTCCAACCTATTAGTACCTGGGTGTAGAACTGAACGTTTTTCGAACAGTTTCATTCCTGCTACGTCTCGTGCTTATAATAATAAGTAAACTTTAGTTTTATATTATCGTAATTTTTATCTAACTTACCTACTTTTACCTGTAAATATAGAATAGATTGAATACCTATGTTCTTATACCTTGTAATTCCAAAGTAATTCAGTTGTTACTGCTAGTTTGGAAATTTATAAATTGGAAATTTAATAATAATAGTAATCCATTACCAACCTAGTTCCCAGGCTTTATAGAAAAATTTATAGAAAAATTTTTATTTAAAAAAGTGGTTCAGTATGACTGAGTAATTGTAGTTAAGAGAATGATAACGTCCAAAGATTTGTTCGATTCTTGCCACCATTCCTGCGCATCAATTTCCCCATCTGTTATAAAACCTGAGCCCGCCACGCAAGGGTATTCTAACACACGTTATCGTTCTCATTCCAAAGCTGTATGTGTAAGGCTACTATTTATTACTATTAAAGCATATTTATATATATTTAATGTATATATTTATACACTGAAATAAATTTCATCATCATTCATCACTTACATGAAATTTCATCATCATTCATCACTTACATTCACCACTGACTAAAAATGAAACTTTGGCCATCAAGCTTTTGTTGGATTTTACGCCAGCCTCATCTGAAAGAGAAAAATGTATATTTGGATGGTATCATAATTATTGTCCACCCTGATTCAGATTACGGTTGCGTGTTGCGAAATCTAACCACGCAACTGATTCAGATTGCAGCTGCATGTTGCGACATCCAACCATGCACCGACTAAAAATGAAACTTTGGCCGGCAAGCTTTTGTTGGATTTCACGACAGCCTCGTCTGAAAGAGAAAAATGTATATTGGGATGGTATCATATTGTCCTCCCTGATTCAGATTGCGGCTGCATGTTGCGAAATCCAACCATGGAAAGTCTTTACATTTGACCAAAACCCAAGTTCTTTCAACACTCAGTCTCTCATGATCGTTTGGAAGTGAAATAATTATACCTCTCGACGGTTCGACAAAAGATCCTTGGTTAGGAATACACAAACTTATTTTTCACCCTGCTCGGTTTCCTTTGTTCTTATCGGGGAATATATTCAATATTCCCCTCTAATTAATTTCCATTTAATAATCCCCTCTTATATTCACCTGCAATGTCTTTGCAGCACAAAAAAAGAGAAAAAACAACATAACGAAGGCAATATGGCATTAAGAATTATTTCTATTCGACTCGTTAACGCGACCTCACATATCCCCATTAAATCACATATCCCCTCGTTGCCTCAAAATAACTTATACAAACCGCGCTCAAACAAAGGCCCACAGTAATTGGTTTATAATGATGTGGTGTTCCAGCCACTCATTTTAATAAGGAATTAATATCTAATAAACCTCATACCCGGCGGAGGGGTTTAACCCCGTTTATTCTACTTTTCCAGTGCATGGGAGGCGGAGAGGGAGTCCTCCAAGCCTTTCGGGTTCCACCGCCCATGCATGTAAGATATATTCACATATTTTCCAGGTGCAGGAATTACAAAACCTTCAGTTTAATTAAGACCAAGCCATATACATCATGAAAGTACAATATACTTTTAATTGTAATTTTAATTTTATGAGAAAATAAGAAATTAATACAGTCATTGCGTAGAACTCCCAATGTGAAGCAGTCGACATTTTCCCAACTACAAGGGAGGCCTAGGGTTGGTTAGTTAATTAGCATTGATTCCCTGATATGACCGTGACCAGGGGCGTAGGAAGCACCTGGAGTTTGGTGGGGCACCGGCTTGTAGGGGCACATTACTATCGGAAAGGGCACCTAAAAAGGGGGGGGGGGAGAAATTTCTCCTGAGGAAAATTTTCCGTCGTATCATACCGAAATTTATGTTTGTGACCTAATTTTTAAAAAAAATTTGTAAATTTCCACACAAAAACGGCACCTATTGTTTTAATTTAGTATTTACAGCGACATTAGCTTCTACAAAAGGGGCACTTTTCCTCACAAAAAAGGGCACTTTTCAACACAAAAAGGGCACTTTTTATCACAAAAAAGGGCACTTTTAGTCCTTTAAAAAAATTTGGGGGGGCACGTGCCCCCCTTGCCCCCCCGCTTCCTACGCCCCTGGTTAGAATAGATTACTATACGAAGTGCAATCATGCTTAACATTGGCTATAAAACAAGGGGATCTCAATAGTTCAGGGTCAGTTTGTTAAACGCGGCGCCCGTGTATGTTAGTCGGAAAGACATAGTTGTGTATACATGTGTGTATATATAGGTAGGAAGCAGCAATATTGTGCCACTGATTCTGTTTTAGCGCTTTTCCCCACCGGACCTCTCCCCAAGGAACGTTTACTCCCTCGCTCCTCGGCTTACGGGCTCGCATTTCCCAAACTATCTACCTGTAAGCCAATGGGAGCATGAGGGCAGTTAGAATAGATTACTATTTTGCTCAATACGTAATTTGGTTTTTGATACATTCGCACTTTTATCTTTTCTAATTTCGTTTAAAAAGTAACCAACTATTTTAACCAAATACTTCGTATTTTGACCACCGCTTTGAACTTAAAAATTATTGGGGGTGTTAATCCCTCCCCCCACCCCACACCACACACAGACACACACACACATACACACACCCGGAAGCGATCTCCCCGGCTTCTTTAGGACTAAAAACGCGAAAATATGCTTTGACCCATACCATTCACAGCTGATCAACAAGTTTTGTTGAGTTGCAAACAATTAAAAACTAAAAGACAGATTGCAATAACTTACTTTAACTCGTAGTCACAATAAGAATAAGAGTAACGCATATATTGTTATGTAATAATAATAATAGATATGGCAATACATTCAAACTTACTTCCAGCCCATGTTTCGGTACAATAGCCACCAAAGATCAAATTTTTACCACCCGTCACAACTTTAACGATCACTAAACTTGGTTTTTTCTCGTTGCATTTCTCATGAAATGTCGGAGCTGCCCAACCATGTTCGGTGCCTCGCCAACATATTCTCCATGTTCCTGTTCCTGGCAACCATTCTGCCAGTTTATTATCCAATTCGACAGGTTCATTAGCCAGTATCATTGATTCGCCGAATGGACCTAAATATATGAATTTAACTTAAGTATGCAGTATATTACGTATATACTGATCTATCAAAAACAGGTAGCTCTAATTTAGCGTGCTCTTGTACACGCAGTAATAGAAGTAAAAGTTGTTATACTAGTAAAAGAAAAGGGCTTCAGCTTTTGCGTAGCATCTTTCAATGCAAAAATGACCAAATATAAGACGATTGACATTGCCAGTAAAATCATGGTTTTATTTTCCTTTCATGTGCATGCTTTCGGGCAGGCTACGCCACTGGTTCAAACTATACATCATACAAAAACAGCAATTGCAACGTTCGAAAGAGGAGGACTTCCACTTTCCAACGATACCAATTTGCATATATTATGCTATAAAAATATGTTGCAATTATGCATAAACTTATTTACCAGTTCAAATTTCAAATATGTCAACAATTCAATCAATTAATCAATCAATCAAGGGTTTATTATAAAATTGTCGCGCTCGAAACCGAATTGCGAAGTTATTTACAACATTTGCTTAAAAAAATCAATATTAAAATGTACCTTGTATTACATGCATATTATGTTACAACAATTATTTTATGAATCTGTGAATTAATACAGAAAGATAAATGTACTTTTATATTTACAAAATTTACAAATTATGCGATCGAAGACGAAGTAGGGATTTAATAAGTGCAAAATATACTCGTAGCAAAAGAAATGGTAAAACTCCACTGCGCTTAAGAACTCGTAAGATGTGTAATCTTTTTTATGCTTTGGTTACTATCTCACTGATATGCAAATCCCACTTCAGATTATTCTGGATCGTTAAACCTAATACTTTCTGGGATTCTATTCTTTCAAGACTAATATTTTCAACAACTAAGGTGGGTGGAGGCTGCTCAATATCTCGTCGAAAGGAGATGATCAACTCCTTACACTTTTGGGGGTTCAATTTCATATTATTGGTGCTTGTCCAATCACCAATTGCGTCCAATTCGTTTTGTAGTATAGATACCTCTCTTGTTGGGACAATCTCAGATATCGTTAATCATTATGACAAATCATTAATCATTATGACAAAAAGAATTGGACCCAATTTGGTACCCTGTAGGACCCCAGCACTAGCTGAAAATCATCGAGACACGCACTATCCCAGCTTAACACACTGGAGGCGATTTAAAAGGAAGCTACAAATCCAAGGGATTATTGAAAGGCGCCCTCCCAAATCGATCAATTTTGTTATAACAATATTGTGGTCTATTCTATCGAAAGCTTTCCTAAAGTCCAGAAAGCAATCCCTAAGGTAATGACCTGGGTTGTCCATTTTAGAAATCCAGTTGTGGATAAGATCTAGAAGACAAAGGGTGGTAGATGTTCCCTTCAGGCTGCCATACTGACGATTATCGATTTGTCCGCCTATGTCCTCAACCATCCAACTCACCACAAAATCTTCGAGTACCTTCGATAACACAGGGGTAAGTGCGATGGAGCGGGCGGATATCGCCCTCAACCTGAGTTTGTTTCGCTTTTGGAATGGGTATGATGCTAGAATCTTTCCATAAGACAGGTACTAGTCCAGAGAAAAAGATGTATTAAATATTGATGTAATTGGCTCAGCAAGTTCATAGGCGAACTCTTTTAAAATTCGTGATGGAATACTGTCCGGGCCCATAGCTTTATTATTCTGAAGTTTTAAGACTCTTAAAACTTCAGACTAATAAGGCTATGGGCCTGGACATCAAGAGCAAACCTCATGAGGATGAATTGAATGTTGGAAGGCTTGAAATATCAAGTGGTGGGATTTCCCTTGCTACACTTACGAAGAGTCATTTAGAGACTCTACCAGTTCTCCTTCCGATAATAACTGGCCGTCACGCTCAATTGTAAACTGAGGTTGACTTTTCGCTCAGCCTGGCATTGTAATAGTGTGCCACCATTGACGAACAATTACCCGAAGTTTTAAGTATGTAGCATAAATAGAAGTACTTTTATGAATAAACTATGTAGCAGAGTAAAATTTACATTTTCTGCTCGCTGTTAAACATCCCGTTTTATATTAACACATGCACACATTTAAGTACAGTAGATTAAAACACATTTAATAAAACTGTTATCTCTTTTATACATAGGTACTATCAGCCCGCATTAATGTTCCATGATAAATACTTCTTGTTACATCCTTTCTTCTTTAAAAGGAGATAGAAAACTATACAAACTTTTTTTAGATTTTTTTAAAATTACAACAATATATACACCTAAATGTTGTATTACTAGTTCAAATATTTAAGTTTATTATTTAATCTTGTTCGTATTTCAAAACACAAATGATACATAGTCTTTCAAATACGCAGGTCTATTTACTAACCGTCCTGAACGTGTTCGTATTTCTACTTTTTGTTCTCTTTGACAATCTACCGCTTGTTTTGACTGCCTTTCTTCAGTCTGGTTCAATTCTCTATTTTCGTCTGTGTGAATTTCTGTTTGATGTGTCTCATCAACTTCATCTTCATCTTCAGTTGTTTTTCTCAGGTGACTTCGATTTCGTCTCAGAACTCGTCCATCTTGTGTTTCAACTTCATATGATCTAATACCAACTTCTGCTTTCACAGTCGCTTTGACTGACGGGCTTTTCTTAAGACCTTGTCCGTGATCTTGAATTCTTACTTTGTCTTCTTTCTTTCTTCTTTTTCTCCTCTGTTACAATACTTCGCTTGACGTTCTTGGCCTTTCACAATTTCTTGATCGTGATTCTCTACAACTCTTGGTGCCAACAACTTTGATGTCGTTGGGAGCAATGTTTTTGTTCTTCGCGACATTAGTCTTTGTGCTGGGGAACTTTCACTTCCTTGCGTTGGTGTATTTCGATAATCCAGCACCGCTAAATACACATCTGCATTATCTTTCTTCGCTTTCTTCATGAGACGTTTCACTGCTTGGACTGCGTTTTCTACACGACCGTTGCTCTGAGGATGTCTGACACTTCCAACTCTTGCTGAACTTATGATACTCCTCGGACACGAACTGCGGACCATTGTCGGACATACACACATCTGGAACTCCGTACCTCGCGAATTGAGATTTCATCTTCCGAATCACTGTTTTCGCCTTGACATTCTCTAGAAGATCTATTTCCCAAAAACCTGGAAAATAGTCAACAGTTATCAGATAATTTCGTTCATTAAACGTAAAAAGGTCAACTCCGACTTTTGCCCATGGTCTATTGGGCACTTCGTGAGATCTCAGTGTTTCTTTGGATTGCTTATTGTCAAACGATCTACATACATCACACTGTGCAGTGTGATCTTTAATATCTCTGGTCATTCCTGGCCAATAGATTCTCTTGCACGACGTAGACATCCGTCTGCCCCTATATGAGTCGAATGAATACGTTGAATCATCTGCTTTCTCAGATCATTCGGAACTAACACTCTTTCACCTCGAAAAATCAAACCTTCTTGAACTGTCAATTCGTCACGTACACCAAAATATTGTCTCGCTTGCCCTGGAACGTCGCTTCTCTTATCTGGCCAACCCTTCAAAATTACTTTCTTCAGCTCTTGCATACGTTCATCAGTTTCCATACTCGCTCTGATATCATCCAATCTTGCTGAGTAAACGAGTAAACTGCGCATCACATTGATCGACTCTACTTCAATCTCGACCGGGGTTCCTCCTTCATGAAGATACACTCGACTCAACGTGTCAGAAAGCTCCATATTCTTTTCACTTCGATACACCAAATCAATATCATATCCTTGCAATCTTAACAACATTCTCTGCAATCTTCTTGGAGCCATATGTAGGGATTTTTTCATTATACTTTCCAATGGCTTATGATCAGATTGGACTTGCACTGGACGACCGTATGTGTACTGGCGAAATTTCTCCAAACCAAAGAGCACGGCCAGAAGCTCTTTCTCGATCTGAGCATAGTTGACTTCTGCTCGAAATAACGCTCTACTTGGAAGCGCAAGCGGCTGTCCATTTTTGGAAATAACTGCTTCCAAGCCTTTTTCAGATGCATCACATTGTAGAGTAAGCTCTTCACTAGGCGGTAATACTTAAGGATCGTTATCTCGCCAAATAAATGTTTCATTGTGTCAAATGCTAGTTGTTGTTCCCCGGTCCATCGCCACGCTGTATCTTTATGAGTTAGTTTCCTCAAAGGTTCACATACTCCACTCAGGTTCGGCAAGAATATTTGTAAATAGTTCACAAAACCAATCAATCTACGAACTGCAGCTACATCTGTTGGCTTAGGCATCTCTAAGATTGCTCTCACCTTCTCTGGATCAGGCTTCAGTCCTTCGTCTGTCAACAAATGACCCATGAATGTAACTTCATTACAACTCATTTTGACTTTATCTGCATTCAACGTGGTGTCCTTCTCACGACATCGACGCATTAATGCATGAACTTTCACATCATGTCTCGCTGTGCTTCTTCACGCGTAGCACCGTTGCCAATCACCAGGATGTCATCGTGAATTGCTACCACTCCTGGAAGATTCTCTATAACACGATGTTGGCGTCGTTGAAACTCTTCTGGTGCACTTGTCAGACCAAATGTAAGCGAAATGGTAAGCGACTGGTCATAAAGTAACTCATGCTAGGGTGGGTTCGAGGTAAATAACAAATTTTGCCAATAAGGTTGGTGACCCATTTTAGAATGTAGATAAAAATTTCAAAGCCCATCTAATCTTACCAAATTTATTTCATGACCCACCCACCCAATTTAAATTGGGAAAATACACTTTTATAATAAACAAAAATTGCAAGTATGAACATTGTAAGTATACACCGTCAATGTATTGACATACATATAAATTCCAGCAAGCTAGACCAACTCTCTCTAGTTGGTAATTTTTGGTGTGATTCGACCATTTCTTGTTGTTATATGAAACAAAGTACTGGCTTCAATAGCATCATTTTATATAACCTGAAGTTCAGGCCCTAATCACAGAATAGGGCCTGACACAAAACCTATCTAAACTGTGGGATTCCCGTCCATCTGGTGGACGGGAAATCTGATTGGTTGATCAGCATCATGAAGGATTTTGATTGGTTGTAAGTTTACATAAACAACAGTTTTAAAAATAGCTCGGTCAAGGCGACATTTAATATAAAGGTCAAACGCACGTACACATTCTATTATCGATTTCTTCGAATTTCTTTTTCTTTTATGATTTATGGCAGAAAATAAATCAAACAAACAGTATTTTGAAAGGGCTTTATCAAAATCGTGGACGAATTTTGGACACACGACGCCGAAAGAACAGCCAAACTAAGTCGTGTATTCGAAAGCTTGTTGTTGACTGCCAAGATGTTCTGCCAACTGGCTTCGCCGGCAAAAGTCTTATTTTTAATATCAGGTCCTACCGGCGTTGTTTTCTGAGCTACATCGCCTTCTTCGTGGTACGATTGAGAATTTCATTGTTGCTGTTGTTAGCCCGTTTTAATAAAGTATATCTATATCCCTAATATCCGCGTCCAGCAAGTTGAGACCTTGAGAAAGCTTGGCAGTCAAGCCGTGCACATAACTGACTAATTAAATCTTTGTCTGAATCTTATTTATACAAAAGTACCTTGAATTTTTAAGTTTAATTAAAAAGCAAAATGCACACTCTGCGGACATGTTCATGAGAATATAATTTTTTTGTGTAGCGAAATCTACAACACTTGTCAATCCTATTGCATGTTGTGTCTAAAAATAACATGTGGGCGTCCCACGGTCTAGACAGGTTTTGTGTCAGGCCCTATTTCAAATTAGGGTATGAAATTCAGGTTACATTTTATAGCATCATTTGCATTTGATAATTTGGATAGTTTGTTTACTTTTTATTATTAAAATTAATATCTTTATTTGTGTACAATTAAGGCAATCGGCGATTAGCTTACATCGTGCTTACATCGTGCTCGCATCTAACCTGCGAATGGGCGTAGTTTGATCTCGCGTTATTCTTTGCCATATTTTGGCTTCAAAAATATCTTGATTTTATCTTGAATTGGTTGTCTTGTTTTCACCATTCTACTTGCGATATTTAATGTTCGGAATTTATTTATCAACATGGAAAGTTATCCCCACCTGGTAAGTAGTCAAATACCACATATTTCATTATTTTTGAGGGGTCTAAATCCAAAAGCCTGTTCAAGGTTTCTATAGACTCCTAGCCCAAACGTATCTACTTTATTTTTATTTTTTATGTAAATAATGGTATATCACATGGGCAAATCATTAAATTAAATTAATACATTCATACAGACAATAATTGTGTATTTATATTTTACTGTCGTTCCAATTGAAGTGTTCCTCAAATATTGATTCAATACATTACCTCGGGCTGACCAATTCATTTGATCAAGTTCCTCGAAATATTCATACACTTCCTAGTATAATTGTAAACTTCCTGTTGAATAGTTTGAATGCACCAATCACCTTTGTTGTTTGTGCAACTAACCAATCATAAATAGAAAGGAAGTGACCAGAAATGATCAAATTCTTGGAATTGGCCCTTTCACAGGAAGTGTATGAATATCTCGAGGAACTTGATCAAATGAATTGGTCAGCCCGAGGTAATGTATTGAATCAATATTTGAGGAACACTTCAATTGGAACGACAGTAAACAGTCAAAACGTAGCAATCATTTATATATTGCCAACGAAAATATCAGAAGAAACTAATGTTCTCAGGAAATATGGAATTAAATCCTGGTCCTGTATTTCTGTTAGAGCAAAAATTCTGATGTTGTCAGTTAAAATACTTATATATTTTGGTTTTACATGTTTTAATTATACAAAATTTTTACAAACATTTTCAAATGCTAATAAAAGAATCCCCACCATCCCTCCTCATTACATTGCCATTTTGCTTTCTAACATAACTGTTTTTTGTTTAGAGATTAGGGACCGATCATTATTTATGGAAGGGGGGAGGAAAAAATAAGGGGGGCCATATATAGAAATAAATTACTAGAAGGGGGGGCTATTAAATTTTTTCAAGAAAATGACGAGGGGGGTTTGTAATTAAATTTGAAGGAATTTGCTTAAATTAATAACCTGGTATCCATTTCGTTGTAAATGTTGCAACTAAATCATGGTCACAGGTCACTGATGTGAAATAGTCTGTATTTATCTTGTCTTGTGTGTGCTGTATGCAAATCAGTCTTTACGGGTTGCAGACTAGTTAAATTGACAATGTATTGTTTATATTACATCAGCTCTTGATGTGGTTAAATACATTTAAATTAAGCATGATTAACAATGTATGATGCGGATGTATTATGCAGGCCACATCCGATGAGGGGAGTCTGTGACATCATATCAATCAAAGGGGGTTGTTTGATGCCTTGTGATCAGCGCTTTGGTCTGGGTATTTATTCTGCCATGGTATGCTTTGCCTAGCTGCAGCAAGTTTAGCGCTTCGATACCTTTTCCCCACGCACCCACCCATGTTCATTCTAAAGGATTTTATCTGGTAGTATATGTCATTTTATTTTATATAATTTTTAATCTCACATAAAATAGGATGTATAGACCACTATACATTGTATTTCGTAGGTATGCCTTGGCAGAATTGTCATTGCTATCTCCTTTTCCTTTTGCTCCATAAACAGTGTTACAATCGCCCAGACCAAATGGAAACCTGATTTTAGTGTTCTATATAAAAATACTCCTCTTTTAATTATCATTTTCTGCTAATATTATAATATATATTTTTGGTCGACATTAATATCTTGCCAGTTCCATATTCTTATTTAATAATTAACACCATAACGCCTGGGTATCCCCATTTGACGAGTAAAAATAAAAATGGGGGGGGGGGTCAAAGAAAAATATTCTATTATGCAGGGGGGGTCATCATTAAATTTCTTCTCTTTTATGGGGGGGGACTTTTAATTTCAAAAATTTAGAAAAGAAAAAAGTCCCCCCCCTTCCATAAATAATGACCGGTCCCTTAATACAAGAATGATGAATAAATGTACTGGATATTGGCTGGATAATTTTGTCAGAACAACCCACTTGCAAGACAATCTTAAGGCTCTGTCACACTATTGCGTATGAGAGAAACGTATGAAAAGCGTGTGAAAATTAATGAAATAATTTTCATACGCACAAAAATCCTTTGAAATGCCAGCGTATGAGTACCGTAAATCTGGCGTACCTCTGTGTATTCAGCGTGTGCCTAGAGTATGCTTATCGTATAAAGCATACGTCCTATACGCACAAAATTTTTAACATGCTTAAAAAAATTTGTCTACCTTACCGTATGCCAGCGTATGCCACCGTATGCGACCGTGCTTGAAACGTATACAACCTATGCCTAACGTACCCCTAGCGTATGTCAGCGTATACCGGGGTATGAGTGATATTTTTCATACGCTGGCATACGCTAGTACGATACGCAATAGATTGACAGGGCCTTTACTTAAATTCATTAGTATGGAAAATAACTTAAAAGTTACAATAATCATATATTATATGGATGGATCAAATCAATGGCAAGCAATGTACAAAACTAAACTTGTCATACCTTCTACTCAAACCGATATTCTCCCACAACAGTGACAACACAAATATATGCTATGTTAAACCGCGAACAGTGTGGTATATCATCAACTGTGCACCGGATTGGAATTGAATTATATACTTCACTCATGACCTTCAAAACATTCTCTACTATTCACTGATCTTCAATATATGATTGACTCTTTGCTACAGTAATGTATGTCCCTCGTATAGTTTGTGTATGTTACTCAACAGCAGGGGCGTGGCGACTGGGGGGGGGGCTTGGGGAGGAAATATTATATTATTCACAAAAATTTTAGAAAATCCAAAAATTTTAAGAATTTTAGAAAAATTTCTTTGATAAACGCAGAAAATTTGTGACATGCGAAAAAATTTTGATGTCGCGAAAAATTTGGATATGTCTGGAAAAATTTTTTTACCCCTAATATGGTACACTGACCGAAAATTTTTTGGCGACGGGGGGTTGGGGGGGGAAGGTCGCCGAAAAAAATTTTGAAAAAATTTTTTTCAAGGACAAAAAGGTTGGTCATATTCATTGTAAAAGTTGGTCATTATGGTATAATGCCCCCCCCTCCCCAATCTGGAATCGTTCGCCACGCCCCTGCTCAACGGTTAACATTGGCAAGTGTAAACAAGTGACGGAACTTTTGCTTCATACAATGAAGTTTTGAAAATTCGATGTGTATGGATTGACAAGTGACAGTTTACTAAATAGCCAGCTGTTGGCTGTATAGACTCTTTGCTACATCAACTTACCGCCCTGGCTAACACTGTTTCCTCCTTCAAACACGTTTCTGTCGGAGTTCCTCAAGGTAGTGTTTTGGGTCCACTACTATTTCTTATTTTTGTTAATGATTTGCCTTATTGTATAGGCCTACT